TCATTAGCATAATAGGCCACACCCAGCAGCAGAAACTCATTAGCATATTAAGCCACACCCCGGACAGCACAACTCATTCGCATATTAGGCCACACCCACCTTTTGCTTCTTATTCTGTTTACCTTGTTTGTAGTCAAAACCCAGGGCTTTTTTTGAAGCAGGAACTCCTTTGCATGTTAGGCCACACACCCCTAATGTAGCCAATCCTAATGAGTTTCTGCTGCTGGGTGTGGCCTGTTATGCTAATGAGTTCTTGCTGGGCGTGGCCAGCTTGGGAGCCAGCTGGAACTCCGTTCTTGTGCGTTCCTGCTCAAAAATAGCCCTGGTTTTATATATCTTTTATTTTAAATGCTGTTTTAATGTTCTATACCACCTTTGGTACCTTATTTGGGCGGAAAGGCAGCATAGAGTTTTAAATATTTAAAATAAATAAATAATTTGTGCAAAGAAGTGTTCAGCCCCGTGAGCATCGCCTGCAGCCTGGAGCCCAGACATGGGCATGCCCCTTCAGTGAGAAACAGGCCTTCGTGATATGGAGACTGATGAGGTGTCTGTTTGTTTCCAATCCAAGATCTGAGATCCAGAATGACAACACGCTGCGCATCAGCCGGGTGAGTGCGGAGGACGAGGGCACCTACACCTGTGTGGCAGAGAACAGCGTGGGCAAATCTGAAGCCTCCAGCTCCCTTAGCGTCCATGGTAAGTATGGCCCAGTTGACCACAGAGATCTGTTGCTTCATGATACGATGAACGGAGAAGGGAGCAGGGACAGTCAGGCAGGCAGGCACCCTTGGCAGAGACAACCGAGTCTAGCTCTGTTGGTCAGAATTCCAGATTATCTGAGCTTGTTTGTGGGAAGGCACTGACCCATTGGCGATCCACCATTTGTTATTTTTTTTTAATCACTGGACTTTATTCAGATTGATGTACATGCACAGCTTGACACAGTTTGAATATTTTTCTACAGGTTAGTGATGTGCATGGGTGCACATGTGCATTGACTTTTTAAAACCCACAAAACGGTGCAAGGATGTCAGGGTTCCTTGTTCCGCTGCAGTGTAATCAATGCACATGTCCATTGGTCAGAGCACAATGCAACAAGGAACCTCTGCCCTCAGATCAAGAGGCCTTTGTGTTTTTTTCATTAGTAACCTGTGGCAGTGGGGGAAAAGACCCAAGCTGAAAACTGTGGCAAATTATGCATGCAGCAATTCTGAAAATAATTTTTGAAATCTTCCAAAGTTAAACTGGACAGCCAGCAAGTGGGAATGGAACTGAGCCAAACTGTGGAGCAATATCAAAACAGGATGACTATCCATCCATCCCTCTACAAGCCAGGCTGGTCTGGTGTCTGCAAAGAATAAATGTTCCATCTAATTGCAGCTCAGTATGAGTCAACTGTATAGACCAGATAGGCTTGTAAGTGGACTGACTATTGGAAATCCAGTATTGGACTTCATATTAAGGTATATTTTGTACTATTTGAATAACAGTTTAAAGGGGTGGGAGATATCTATTTCGTATCCAAAGCCTAAGCCAGGTTGATATCAGGAGGACAGTGAAGAGGGCAGAACTTTTCCCAAGAAAGTGGGGTTGCCAAGGAGGGAAGACAAATGAAGGATAAACTTCATTCAGACTAGATGGCCATCTGAAAGCAATGCTGATTCTGTGAACTTAGACAGATCATGAGAGGGAGGGCAGGAAAGGTTGCATCAGTGCTTGGTTCTTGCAGCCATTTCTTACATGACCCAGGGAAATACTGATCACCACTTTGGGGTCAGGAAGCAATTTTTCTCCAGGCCAGTTTGGCCAGGGATTCTGGAGGTGGTTTTGCCATCTTCTAGGCATAGAGCAGGGGTCACTCGGGGTGTGGGGGGGAGGGATTTGTGAAATTTCTGCATTGTGAGTGGGGTTGGACTAGATGACCCTGGAGGTCCCGTACAACTCTGATTCTAAAAGCAGGAGCCTGAATTATAAGGAAACATCCTAATAAAAATGACAGCCCAGTTGAAGAATATAAAAATACGAGCTAACCACTCCATTCCCTTTCCCAGGATTAGTTGTTCTGGTCTCTAAAGACTGGGCCAAGCAAGGAGGTTTTTCAGCCTTGTCAAGAGGTTCTCCAGCTTTAGTGAGTCCCTGCAGGAAGGGCAACCCATGTGCATCTGCATGTTTCACATATTTTGCAAATAGACTCACCGAGGTGTGGCCTCTGATTCTCTTAACTCCAGATGCCCTTCTTTATTGACGCTTTAAACATTCATGCCCGCTTAATTTGAATCCAAATCATCTCATATTTTTGTGTTTTTTTTTTGTTTTTTTTCATATGTTCACTTTGTTCCAGTTGGCCCATTCCGTAAGTATTCATTTCATCTCATAACACTGCTGCATGCTGGGAAGGCTAAGGGTTGGTTTCCATTGGTCAGTTTGGTGCATGTGACCTTTTTTCCCTTTGGAAGCAACCGTGGGAGCAGGTTTTATTTTATATCAGAAGGAATGTGAATGCCATGCATCATTTCTCCACCATCAAAACGAAACAGCTGAGTTTGCTTGGCCAGATCTTGCAACACAAGAGAATGTGGTAGATGGGGTACAAACCAAGACTGATTTCCTAAAATAGAGATAAATGGCCTGATTGGTTTCCTTAATTCTGTTGAATTCTGTAGTCCAAAGTAATTTGAATTTTATTTTTATAAAGGCTGTATAGAGTTGTAGTTGCCTTGTCATTTCTCCCACACATTTCTGATTGTGTGCTTAAGAGTATAGCCAAGATTGAATTTACCACAGTCGAATGTTCATGGTAATTTATTTTCTTTACCTGTGTTCCTCATGGGCCTTTGATAATACAGCCCATGTGAGGGAGAATTTTTCCAGCCACAGTTTGGAGCATGGGTTTTTCCTTTGCTTTTCTCTTCAGTTCTTCCACCCTCCCTTTTTGTGTAAAATATATTTTTTTCTTTCACCAAAGTTTGAATTGTGTGGTCTGTCCTCTTATGTATATAAAGAGTGGCTGTTCTGGAGGCTGCATGGGCATGTTGGTTCACACATTGGTTTACTTAAACTAACTATGGGTGGTGTGACTGACTCCATTAACTAGGGTGAGTTGGGGTCCACCAAACCTGGATCCTGAATTCAGCTTATCAACCACAGTTAGCCTGTGTGTGATGTCTCCGGAGGACGGCCGAAGACAGGAGGTTCGGCGTGATGTGGTCCATGGGGTCGCGAAGAGTCGGACTCGACTGTGCGACTGAACAACAACAAAAATTGGGCATTTTGTGTGGCTTCTCACCTGAATGCTTGGCAGAAGAGCTCCGTCTTGCAGGCCCTGCAGAATAGTGATAAACCCCGCAGGGCCCTAGTGTCCTCAGGGAGCTCATTCCAGCAAAGTGCTGCCACCACCGAGAAGGCTTTGGCCCTAGTTGTAGCCAGCCTGACGTCTTTGAGACCAGGGAGAGCAAGAAGATTTTGAGATCCTGACCACAGTACCCTCTGGGGAACATATGGGGAAAGGCAATCCTTCAGGTATGCAGGCCCCTGACCATAGGGCTTTATAGGTAAGAACAAGCACCTTGAAGTGAACCCGGTATGTTATAGGTAGCCAGTGCAGTGCTTTCAGCGCAGGCTGAATGTGTTCCCTCAGGGGGGAGACCAAATAACAGCCTGGCCGCCACATTCTGCACCAGCTGTAGCTTCTGGATTTGGGACCAGGGCAGCTCTATGTAGAGAGCATTGCAGTAGTCTAATCTTGAGGTGACCATCGCATGGATCACTGTTGCCAGGTCATCACGTTCAAAGAAGGGAACCAACTGCCTAATCAGCTGAAGATGGTAAAAGGCCGACTTGGCGGTGGCTGCTACCTGGGCCTCCATCATTAAGGAGGCATCCAAGAGCACTCCCAAGCTCTTAACCTCCAATGTTTTCCATGTTTAGTATTATTAAAGTCAAATAGCCTTGATTCCAGTACATGTTGGTCTCCAAACCTGAATTTCCCTTTGTTAAACTTCCCAGTGGAACCCAAAGTTTATACTTGAATTTAGATTTTAATCAAGGCTCAACTATATAATACAGTTTTCCCAGATCTGTTCCCCTGGCTGACTGTCAAGGTCTAGGAGTTCTGTGTTTGGAAATCAGTTCTCAGGTGCACACTGCCTGCCAGGAGACTTAACATCCTAGCAACATTTCCCTGACTTGACACTGCTGTGGGAAACTGCTGTCCCCCCAGTTCAGGAAACTTCAGTGCAGTACACATAGAGCCCATCTGGACATATTAAGTTTCTCCAACAGGAGCCAGTTCAGTTCCGGAAAACAGCATGGGAGGAGACTTAAGTCATGGCCATGATCCAAATTGAGCCCTAAGTGCCTGGGAATTGGATTCCGAGCATGGAACTCTAGTCTAGATGAACATCTGATCTCTAGGACCCAAAGAGGACTCAAAGAAAATATAACATGTACAGTGGTAGACCTGCAGAGACTTCTGGGTGGGCATCTCATTTTCCCCTCCCCCACTATCCTTTTTTCCCTTTCCTTGAAAGCCCCCATAGTCTTTTCTGTTTCCTTCTCTCTTTCCTATCCGCTAGCCAAATTAACTTTATCTGCCTCTGTCTTCAGCCTTCCCTCCCTCTGGCAGACTGTGTAGGAAAACTAGGGTTGCCAAGTCGAAAATCGTCGGGAGCGGGGGACTCCCGTCCGGTGTACTATGCGCGCGTGTGCGCTGCACGCACGTCACCAGGAAGTGACGTTATGACGCCGGGCATGCTGGGGGTGGGGCCACAACCATCCAAGGGGGAAACATAGAGTTTCCCCCTCCGATGATCGTGGCCCCGCCCCCAGCGTGCCCGACGTCATAACGTCACATTTCATTCATTCATTCATTCAGTTTGTATCCCGCTCACCCCCTTAGGGCTCTGAGTGGCTTACATATTTCAATTAACACAAATCCTAGCCTAGGGCCACATACATATGGGGAAGGTGACAAGCCTACCAGGCACCCCTTTTTCTTGTAGCGGATCTTCGTTGTTGTCTTTCTTGCGGGAGATAGTCCGGCGGCGTCCTTCTCTGGCACTGGTCTTTGAAGTTACGCCTTCCGGCTTGTTGCGATTCCTTTTCCGGGCCTGGGCCACTCGCACTTCCGCACATGATTGCTGCGGCCTCTGTCCAGACTAGGCTCCGGCCTGCTGCGACGCTCTGCCTTCACGCTTGTTGGTCCGGCCTCCTTCGCTCGCTTTTTGCCTCGCCAGCCGCCGCCATACTTCACCGCCGCTCATCGCTCACCGCTGCCACCGCTAGACAAGGGACGGGTGCCCCCCCGCTCTAGTAGCAAGTACCCATTTGTCTATTCGCCCTTTAACGGGCTTTCGAGCCGCTGGGTGGGCGGGAGCTGGGACATAGGGCCGAGAGCTCACCCCGGCCACCATGGGGCTCGAACAGCCAGAGCTGTTCGGCCAGATGTTAATGCAGGCTTCACTTACCTCCTGCGCCACCACTCCCTTCCTGGTGACACGCACACCGGGGTGGTGTTTCCCCTGGGGCCCGATCCGCCAGCGGTGGGGAACGGGCCTCTGGGGCGGGGGTTTCCCTGCCCCCCGGGGGACTTGGCAGCCCTAAGGAAAACTATGGCTCAGTCACATGGTACCAGCTGCCAGACTGGACACAGTTGCATACCAGGTTGGGCCAGGTATCCCTTTCCCCACACCATTTGCTCTTTCACTCCTTTTGGCAACCCCTGGTCCAGTTGCATGGTCCCAGCTTCTGGGCCAAGCCTAGTTGGGTGGTGGGACACCTACAAGAACTAGCAGGGGTACTTATCTTTCCCCACAGTAGTTCCTTTTCCCCTCTTCCTGTCAACCCACATCTCTTCACCTTTCCCTGCTTCCTTCTCTCCTTCCCACCCACTAACCAACCTACCTTTTATGTGTCCCCTATTTTCATTTACGCTTATTGTTTTTACTTCATTTATACCACAGTGGGGACCCAAAGCAGCTTACCTCATTCTCCTCTCTATTTTATCCTCACAGCAAGTATGTGAGCTAACTGGCTCAAGGTCACCCAATGAACTTCTACAGCAAAATAGTGATTTACATTTGGGTCTCCCAGATCCGATTCTAAAAGTGTAACCACTACACCCAGAGGTTATTTCGGGGGGGAACGCGGGGGAACGCAGTTCCCCCGGGTGAGGTGAAGGGGAGCCGGGCCACATGACGAAGCCCCGCCCCCTGCTTCCGGCCGCCCCGCTTCCAGCCCTTATTCAGCCAGGAGGAGGCAGGAGAAGAGGGAGGGTAAGTTGCTTCCTCCCCGCCTCTCCCCACCCCTGCCTGCCTGGGGCCAGGGAGGGCCTTGGCGGGGCTTCCTCACACTCCCACTGGCCTTGCAGGTCCACCGCTGGGCCCCTGATGTCAGGGGGTGTGGCATATGCTAATGAGTTATGCTGATGAGTTCCCCTAGCTCTTTTTCTACGAAATGACCCCTGACTACACCACAACAAGCTTTTATGGTGTGGATGCTGTAGAACAGTAGTAATTAGCTAGTCCTGGATGAGTCATGTAAGTCACATAGGATCAAGTGACCCATTGGTTGTTGCCAGGCTTGGCCCCAATGAGTCCTCAACTGAAGGAAGAGGCCCTTCCCCTCCAACACACACTACCTTTTACTGACAGAAAACTAGACTTGAAGGGTGGCAATACTGTTCTGGTGCCTAGCAACCTCCACAATACCCCAGAAAGGGCATCCATTTCTTAAAACTACAGGCACTGCTTCTGTTAGAGGGGGTTACCTCCCCACACACATACAATGTATTTTTCTTAAGATTTCAAACTTTTCTGCAAGCCTGGGACTTTTTAGGTTTGTGGAATCATCTGTTTTGTCTGTTCCCAGCACTAGTCTCCAGATTTAATATGGATAGATTTGGCCATGTTGAGAATCTCTCCTTATATATAATTCTGTTTTGGTCATGACACCCCTGAACATTCCAACATGCTTCCAAATCAGTTGGCTCCATGATCTGTCATTCAGAGGGTCTCCCTATCCACTGGCTGCATTGCCTGAGTCCTGCCTCCCACATTCTAAACAGTTTGCTGTTCCTCTCCCCCCATAGCCGGTCAGAACACAGAGGTCATTTTAAGCTGATCCCAGCTCGGTGTGATCCTTTAGTGCTGTGCGCAACGCCTGCTCCGGGAGAGGGGATCAAAGTGTAATACAAGCCTCCTCCGAGGCTTGATCACACCAATCTCAACTCTCACTTGGGTCTTGATGCCTGCCAGTCATTCCCTCTGCCTGGGGGAAGCTGCGTTGTCCAAACTGCTGAAAGGAACCACCGTCCACCCTGAGAACCACAGAGGTCATTTGCATATGCAGCCTCAT